TTTCAACATGGTACAATTTGGTCTTTCGAAACCACAAACAGAAACAATGGTCTGTTCTATGGTTTCTCCATAGTATGATGGCTGGTTGCATCATCTGAACCTGGAAAACATAACCCACAGTGGTAGGAAGGCCAGAAGCAGACAGCTGATTGGCAAAAGTTGCAATGGCCACTCTTGCCAAATGCCTAGCCAGATTGGGAATCTTCTTGCAAATCAAGTGTAGCACAAAGGCTGAGGGATGCTGCTTGTGCAGCAGTTGTGGAGGGCTTGATTCCTGAAGAGTGCCACATGAATGCTTGGTGTAGGTTCATGGCTGCAAGAAAGTGGGCTGCAGTCCAGGATGCTGAGCCTGGGGAATGCATCAGATTCCTACCCCCAAACTGCATTTTTCACACTTCCCTACTGTCAGAGGTGTCTTTGAGGCAGGAACAAGCAACCAACTGGATGGTGCTGCAAAAAGAAGCAGAACTGCTTAGGCGGTTCCCCCAGTGCCTCACCACATGCACCAGAGGGAAGCCCTTCGTGTGTGTGTGAGCGGGGACAGAATCAGCAAGGCAGTTGGAGCAGACTCCCGCATTCTCAATCCCACTTGCAAGACGGGCTCCGTTTCTCACTTCCACTGGTAGAGGTGCTACACAGGGACTAGCCTGAGGAGGCCTCTCTTGCAAATGGGAGTGAGAAAGGGAGGAGTGAGCACCACCCTATCCTCGTTGCAGCTGCCCGCAAGAAAAGCACTTAGGTGGGTGGCAGATTGAGGACATTTTCCCCCTAGTGGGAGTGAGAAGTGGGAGTGAACAGGGGAACCAGCGGAGCAGCACTCCTCCCAACTGGGCACCGCCAGCCAGATTATTTTCCCTGGCATGCTTCCAGCTTCTCTCAGGGGCACTTGTGTGGGTGGGGGGTAGGGGGGGATCATCTGAGTGGCTCTGATCCTTTTTACAGTGCCATCCAGCTGGTTTCCCTTGCTTTTGCCAAGGCAGGTGATGGCAATCTTTGATCAGCCCCCTCATCTTCTCTGCTCCACTTCAGGGCATGAGCCATTTGCACAGCAAAGACTGCTTTTCAGCCATGGCAAGCCAAACTTGGTTCTCCACCACATCTGCCAAAGAGAAGTGCCTCATTCTTCCCCGCGGTGTCTCCTCTGATACCACCTGGAGGACGGAGGGGGAAGGAGATGGCTGAAGGGAAGACAGCACCATGGCACACCCACAAACCCTGGTAACCATGCAGGTTTATTTGTTGTGACATGTGGACCCAGCCATTAACTAGCTTATTTATATTCCATAGTTATTGATATTTGCTCACTTGATGGAGTTTTTGTAATACAAAAAAGATGTGAAACAGAGTGACTTCTCATATGTCAGAGGATGCTTCCATGGGGCCTTCATTGGGCCTCAAACATGGAAGTTTACCAAGGGGCCACATGATGTCTTATTCCGTTGTAAACCTCTGGTGTTTCTCCACCACTTTTCCATCTGTTTTCTCACCGTATGAACCCATTAAAGAAAGAATGACAGAACAGCTGCACAATGCATTTAGACTGGTAGTGCTACAAGCTGTTCATCCAGAAGCAGCCATAGACATTAGAAGTGCAGAACTTGCTCTTCTGGTGTTGCTTTAAAAAACAAACAAACAAGCAAACAAACAAACATTCAGTTCCTTGGGAAACCATGGGATGGGTTAGGGAAGAACAGTCCCTTTCTGAAGAAGTTCATTGTTCAGAGACTAATGGTTTAAGGGTGCTTAGATAGCAAAGGGTATTTCCAGAGCTATGGAGCCCTAAGAGCTGCATTGTTCCAGGATTTGTAGTGACTGTGCAAAGTATGCGGGTAATGCATTTTACAGATATGCAACAGGCAGACAAGGGATTCAAGTTGAAAAGAGCTGTTAATGCAATCCTACCATTCTGTTAAAGTGCAATTCAACTCTGATGAAATCAGTAGCAGTTGGATTGCACTTTTTCCTAACAAATTGACAAGAGTTCAGCATTGGGTAAGGGTACATTCCTAAAGTTCTTGCAGCAGATGCTTGTATGCCCCTGAACTCAAAGGCTTCCAAGGATCCAGTGCAAGGCATGGGACACAGCAGTGGTGATCTCCGATGCACCACACATCTTGCATTCTGGCCACTTTCAAGTCATCAGGTCTAGCGCTGAGGAAGGAGAATGAGGCTGGGGCATCAATTGGACTGGCATAATTTCATGGGCCCAGCTGCCTCCCCTCTCTGCCCCCTGCACTCTCCTGTTCTACCTTCTGATACCTGGGATCAGGCTTTAGTCTTTGGAGTCCAAGCTCCTAGACGATCTTGGGAGGTCGTGAGATTGTGCCCTAAGTGTATTTAACTCTGTATAAGACTGCAAGCCTTTTTGCTAAGGTGTAGCTACAAATTAACCCATTTGTACCTGAGGATTTCAAGTAGGATTGTCTGTGCTTGGAAACCATGTAATAGGCATGAGGTATTCCCATTGAAACCCAGTATTATCTCCTGTTTTGTGCAGAACGGCATGCTCAACATTCAACAGGCCAAATCCTTAAGGTTCAATCCCAAACATACCTAGGGAGTACTTCTCACAACTCAATGGTCATACATCTGGTTGGATGTGCTTAGGATAGTGCTTAATGCTTTATGGATAACCCTGTAGTTTGCTTTCATTTTTAGCCTTTGAGTAAACTTCACTGGGGCAGTGAAAGGAGCAGTATACGGTTTTTCCATTTGTGCGCATAATGATTCTGTTGAATCTGATGTCTGACTTAGTCATTTAGTGCACAAGCTGCCCTTTAGCAGCTTCATTATAGAAGGAAGACGGTTCTCCATGTGGCTAATTGCTACCTGGAAAACTGGCTGACAGCTGCACTGATTAATGGCTTATGCCAGGAAGCCCATTAATTTATAAATGTAACCGAGACCTTTGTGGTTCAAGGGCTTCCCATTATACGAGTTGTGTCTTTTTTGCCACAACATAATGAATCTCCTTAAGATGTATAACTGGCTTGTATTCATAAAATGCATCTGCACAAGCCCTAAGCAGTAAATGAGAATTTGAAAAATTCTGGAATTCTAGCCAATCAGAACTCTGCAGTATCCAGAATTATTATTTTGCCAACATTAGCCTTAATAGAATAGAACACAAAGGTGGAGCGCTTGTCACATCCTTCACTTGTTATGTCTTTCAGTTTTCAATTTTTCTCTCCCACCCCTATCCAGAGACTCCCTGTAACCAGAACTACCTGCATAGTCTTGGCTCAGGGCACCCTTCAGAATATAAACATGTTAGTAGTGGTACCTCTGTGATAGGAGTTTCTGAGTCCTATCCCACTGCACAAGTTATTAAGTGATGTTGTTAGCTAAAGCTTCTCAGCAAAGAACAGGGTGTGGAAATTAAGTTGGGCTAGTCCAGCAGTCTGTACTTGTTCTTTCTATAAATAAATCCATTGAAACTGCAGCACATTCAAACAGCCTGACTCTCCAGTGCCTTCCACTGCACTCTGTGGGGTCCAGCTCAAGATTGTCCCTGGGTAAGTGTCAACCAATTGTCAGCAAAACTATGACTTTATAATAGTCTGCCAAATAACAAAATGTTCTCTGGGCAGACCACATGGTAAAAGAACAGATGCAAAGATAGGTAGGAAAGCTCAACTTAGAAGCCCAAATATCTGCCAAAATGAAATATTGTTTCTAGGCTTGAGCTGTAATTGTTCAGCTTTAATGATTGGCAGTTACTTTATTTGGAGATCATGGAAGTGCAACTGAGCCCCAGTATAATGGTTGGCTTCAGCTGTGGTTGCCCTGCGTTGGACTTTGATTGGTGGAAAAGAACTCTTCATCTTGAGGATCTCTGGCTTATGATTAACATATATGTTTGTGCATTGCATTTTTTCTCTTCAGGCTTTTGCTATGCTCAATATTCAGTCTTTAGTCCCACAACACCAACAGCTGTAAAAATGCATAGGGCACTACAAGGTGGAAGAAGTATCTATACAGTATTTGCTCTTCATAAGAGCTTAGATGAGGGAAATCACATTAGAGATGTAAACACTTCATCTTCCTTACTGCTCTGGATATTGCTTTTCAGCTCACAGGTCCTAATACTGTACAATGGGCACCAGTGGAACCAGGTAGATGCAACACATCCTAAATGGCAAGGGAAAATATCATGATTTGGCTCTTAAAAGTAATGAGACTCTTTGAGTTCTTCTAATCCTGGCATTGCCACTGCCTTTGGACTCACAGATAGGCACAGTGTAATAGCAGACCCTCATTTGGGTGATTTAAGTAAATTTTTGACATCATTGCTGAAAAATCAAGCTCTATGAAATTGAAGCAATCTAAACTGAAGGCTATCCTGTTATGTTTAGCTCCTCTTCCCCACTTGTAGGACAGATCTGATAGTGTGTCTCATTATAGAGACTAAGAAGAAAAGGGTATCAAAGAGCCATAAATGTTCAGCTGATGATACACTTATCTACTCTTTAATAGGCACAGTGGTGCTGTAGAATGATTTATTCATCAAGGCAGCATCCGGAATAATTCCTAATCCATCACTGCCCTAGGGCAAGGTTCCCTGGGGATACCCTCCAGTGCCTCCTGGTTCTGTTTGACACATTTCATTGGCAGCAACATCAGAAGTACCGCGGAAAGCTGAGTTGTGGCTGGTTAGGCAGCAGCTTCTTATTTTGCTGCACTCTGGCTTTTCTAGGTATTACCCTGCCTTCTTGTATGAGAGGAATGGAACTCAGTGCTTCCCTAGTCTTGCCTCTCCTGAGGGACACTCTGCCTCACACTGCCAGGAGAGAGGAGACAATGCTTCAGAGAGCTGGGATACAAGGAGCTGGCAGCATCTTGCAGGCAATTAGTTCCTGTTTACAGAAGAAGCAATAATTTGGGCCACCCTTTCTCCACGAACAGCCCTTGTCCCAAGCTGTTCATGGCTACAGGATGGCCTCTTGCATAGGTTCTTCACCAGGGGAGTTTGTGTTGGGTTTGGAAGGCTGAAGGATTGTTTACAAGTGAGATGTAAAGGCTGGTGCAGGTGGCGTGGGGAAGAAGGCAATATGGAGGCTGTTCCTTGCTTGGTCTCTGCTTTCCGATGCAATGAGAAGCTCATCATCAGCAAGGCAGGAAAGGTGGGTGGAGAAGACACTGTCATGTCCTCTGGCACCTGCCTTTTTTTGGCATGGAATGAGAGTCACCGAGGGGAAGCTGTAGGCATCAAGAACTGATGAGCACCTAGGAGGCACTCCAAAGAGGTCTGGTGCCTCAAATATGTGATCCATGTCAGAGAAAGCAACAAGAGCCTGAGTGGAGTCATATGAGCTCTTCTCTGTGTCCTCGGACACATAAGACTGGGTGCAGCTTTCCTGGGCCTGGCTCTTCTGCCTCAGGAGTCTCAGGTCATCTCTGAAATGGGGGTTGAAGAGCAGATAAAGCAGGGGGTTGAGGCAGGCAGGTAAGGGAAGTACCACCAACAGCACAGACTTGATGACTTCAGGGGTGATGAGGAAGAGACTGAGCATGGAAGAGAAGGTCAGGAAGGCCACTGGGCAATAGAGGAGGCAGTTGATAAAGATGAGCCATGCAACATGCTTGATCATAGCACAGTCCCAGACAGAGTCAAACTCACCTTTCAGCAGGTTGCAATAGAGGCGGATGTATGTCCCAGTGATAATGAGGAAGCAGAAGGTGTTCGCCAGCACTAGGGCCACCATGTATCCCAGCATGGAAGGCTTCCCATCTGGGAGTGGGTAGGGTAGGCAAAGAGGGGATGCACCATACTCCCTGACAGAGAAGAGAGGCAGTGCTGCAGCCACTGAAGAGAGCGCCAAGCAACTCAGGGCACCTGCCTTGATCATGCCAAAAGATGGGACCTTCCCATATGCCCTCATGCATGACACGGAAAGGCTGCACTGCACAGCAGCCAAGGTCAAGAGAAGAATCGAAGCCTCTGAAGCAAACACTGAGAGGAACCCAGTCACCTGGCACCCTGCACCTGTCTCCCACCGAGCCCCGTATTCTGCAAAATGACCGAAAGTGATGGCATCCATGAAAGCCAGAATGGCACAGTACGTGCCTGTCAGCATGTTGGCTCCAGCAAGGGCACCAATGACAAACTTGACAGGGGACAGATAGCCAGGTGAGGCAAAGACGACCACCATGACTAGTCCATTGCACAGGATGGAGACCAAGGTGATCAGCCAGACACCCAGGCGGATGACCCAGCTCTCAAACAGGTGATCGCAGGGCTTGAAAGGACCTGAAATGGAAGTGAGGAAGGAGGCAGATTACAAACTGGAGGGTGAGACACCACAGCAAAGGAGCTGACGTAACATATGGCTGGAGCATCAGCTTTCGCTTGCATTGGCAGACAAGGAAAGCTGTAGCTTACTGAATAAGAAAGCAGAATTTGAGGTATGCCAGGCTTCCCATACTGGTGTCCTACAGAAGTGCTGAACTGAAGCTTCTATCATTCCTTGCTGGCTGGGAATGATGGGAATTGCAGCTCAGCGTATCTATATCTGGAGGGCATCAGTGCTGAGAAGGCTGAGGTACATAACAGCCACCAATCTAGAAGTAGGGACTCTAGGGAGGCAGAGCTATGTGTATTTGCCTTAGACTTGTAATTCTATAGTTTTAAAACCAGTGGGTGCAACCAGCATGCTGGGGTTGAACATTCCAAGGACAGGGACTTGTTTTGAGTATTTTTTCCTGCTTCCACTAATTGTAGGAAGAGTCAAATGGAGGTTGGAAGGCTGCCCTCTGATTATTGAATATCCTGCTTCTTCCTACCTGCTTCTGAGATTTCAGTGAGCAGTGACATCAATTCTGATGTGAAGAGCTAGAAAAATACATTGCTGTTGTTTTACATGATGTTATGAGATAGCCCTTTCCCTTGATCCAAAACTCAAGACAATCCTTTGGAATTCTGTTCTTTTATTGAAACTCCGGAGTTGACAGAACAATCAAAAGCTAAACAGCCTTTAACCAAAGCTGGAAGGAGAAGCCTTTGCTCATGAAAAGAGGAGAATCCAAACTGGAAACTTCCCTGTGGTCCCTCCCTTTCAGTAAGGCTGCTGGGTCTACCCCCACAGGGGCTTTATCCAGAGCTCATCTCTCCCAGTGCCTCCTTATGGGGTCAAGGACTGGTCCTCCTGCACTCTTCCATCTCTTCCAAAATGGATTAACTTTCATGCTCAGTGTGAGAAACTTCACTAAGCAACCTGGAAGGAGTTTCAGAGGGGTGAGCCCTCCCTTGCCCCGTCACTTCTTTTTTAATTCAGAACCTGACTGTGTCCCCCACTCCACAGCCTGCAATGAGCTAAAGACATCTGAAGTATGGGATGGGTAGTGGCTAAAGAAGACTCAGCAAGCAGAGAATGTTGTTTCATTTTAAAGTGATGCACACAATGCTTGTCACACTAAGTCTGTGTTTTAGTAAACCTAAAAACAGAAGTGGCATGTATGGCAACCATCATGATGAATGAAATGGAGCTTTTTATAAATTGCGTCGTCTTTTTGGAGAATATTTCTTACCAGGGCTTGGTGTGCACTGGATGTTGGGGTGTAGCTTTGAATCCTCAAGCTCCAACTGGAAGTCGTCCATATCCAGGTCATCTAGATAGTAACAGAGAGAGGAAGAGCCCACAGGCACAGGAAGGATCAGCTTTGCATCGTCAGCCTTGCACCTACAGCACTGCAGCAGCTTGGTAATGTTAGACCTGAAAGTCTCGTGATGCCTCCTGGACAGAGCCTTATGTGATACTTCAGTTGTGAAGCATCCAAGATACATTCCTCCCATTCCCTGCTTTACAACTGATTGTTAACCCTCATTAAAAACAACAGCAACTCTGAGCACGTGCAGTTTCACATTTTAAGCTCACTTAGAGCATACCACCATTGTGACTACAGGTATGAAATACTTTGGCTGCTCTGATGCGACACACATTTGTTTGAGAATAAGCATCATTTTTGTAGGTAATATATTTTTGAAAGCTAAAATAATAGAATGTGCGGCTATCCCTTGTCTACAAAATGTATTTAAACATAAGAAGAAAGAAAGGCAACTGTGATGAGCAGCATCAACCCTGGGGGACCTTGCCATGGTGCCGCAGGTGTGGACAGCAGGTCTGTGAGTCACCCTGCATGGTTATTTGGGCCATCTGCTGAGCCATGGGGCCCGGGAGTTGGACCCTGAGCTCCAGCTCAAGCTGCATGGCTGAGCATGTTGCTTGGTTTTTAGAGCTGTGGCTGCCGAAATGGCAAGAATGCTACACTTGTTATGCATTCATATATTTCTTGACTGAAGGTGTAACATTTTTTGGAATATTACTATAACTTACATGTTCAGAAACCCAAGAAATATAATGTATATCAAATACAGCATGCATTTGGAAAGAAGGAAGGAAGGAAGGAAGGAAGGAAGGAAGGAAGGAAGGAAGGAAGGAAGAAAGAACCCATTCTCAACAGAACCAAAATGCTAATCTTGTGATTTAGAATGATGGAACTGTGTCATGATTTTGGAATCCATTAAAATCATTTTACTCTGTTGAACATTCGAAGACACTTTCTACAGGTTAAATATGTGAGTTTGCCATCTGTCAGTCTTCCGCTGATGTTTCTCTGTTTTACCCAATGTCTAATGTTCTTATGCTTACTTGCTACATCTGACGTGGCTTTAGATCTTAGCTTATTTATTAATTTGATTAATTACACTTATAGCCTACCTGTTTTCTTCAAGGAACTCCAGGCAGTTTACACATCCTACTCCTCTCAATCTTATCCTGTGAGGTAGGATAGGCTGAGAGTGAGCAACAGGCCCAAAGTCACCCAGTGAGCTTCATGGCTGAGGAGACCAGAACCCGGATCTCAGTCCAGCAGCCTGACCACTACACCACACTGGCTCTCTGATTACTTTCAAGTCTGATAACTTTCAAACTTCTCCAAATTACTCAGTTAACTATTCCCTTGATAAACATGGGGCTACTTTTGATCTGAAGCAATAGTTTCCTCATTGAGGAAGTGGTTTTCTCCAATGTGCGGCTCTTCCTATGTTTTATACTACAGCCCCCATCAGCCCCGGCCAGCATGGCACATGGCTAATGGCCAGGGGTAATAGACATTGTTCTTTAAAACATCCAGACAGCATCCGTTGGCATAGTGCTGCTACACTGTCTTGTATTGCAGGTGGGCGGGGGTTGGCTTTGTTTACAGATTGTGCTCTTGCATGACCACACTTCCTTCTTTACATTATCCAGGCCTTTAGATATGGGCACTAAGCACATCTATACCATCAGTGCCCCATTGCTTCAAGGTTTTTCTGAGATAGCTTGCAGGAATTTTAATAAGCAGAACGGACTAGCAGAGAAGACTGAAAAAGCAAGAGAAACTTCCCATTAAGTAAGGCTGCCCTTTCACCACCCTGACAGAGGCTCTGTGTATTTTGCAGGAGGCGAAATTCAACAGATGCAGCTTTCCACATCACAGAATGAAGTAACTGGGGAAAAGCTGCCTTTGTAGATTTTCTGCCAGTCATCCAGCTCTTAAAGACACAGAGCTGTTGTCAGGAAAAACTATTCAAGCCTGACTATTAAACATTTCTCTCCTCAATAAAGCTTGCTTTCTTCTTTAAATAGGAGTCTTATACAGCACGGAATTTATGATGAACATTCCCCAAGGAAATATAGCTGCTTGACTATGAGCTGTACTGCACATCGCTGATGCCTCCTCACTGCAGGGAGCCGAGGTTCATCCCAGCTAGGTTAGCAATATGCTGGCACCTGGAAGAGAAGGACCTGTTGCCCAGCAGTCTAGACAGCTGAGCCCTGGCTGTTTATTTTACTGGAGGTGTCAAGAACATGATTTGGGCAGTCTTAGGAAAGGTGCATATTCTTTTCCCACAAACATCCTGCCACCAAAACAGCCTAGCTTACAAAGGGAACCACACAGAGCTCCCATTCAGCTGGAGAGCAACCCACCCCCTCCTGCACACACGGTGTGCTGAACGTACGGCAAGGCCCAGCGGCATAGCATAAAAGGTATGTAGGATCCGTGCCCTGTGGCGACATGAATCCACTCTGTTCTCTACCCCTGACTGTGACTGATGCAAAGCTTTTCCAGGAAGAAAAGTGAACCCACTGGCTTGCTCCATCATTGGCAAGCCTCTGCCCACCCACAGGAGTCAGATTGTAGGTCACCAACTGAGCTGCTCTTCAATGCATATTTTGGAAGCTGGATTCTGAAACAGGCAAAAAAATATTATCATATCACATGTTTTACTAGTAGGTTTAGAAGCTGATGCTGAGGAAGCATGTTTCTGCCAGAACCATGGAAATTAGTTCCTAGGCCAGGATGTTCAGAATTACACGCAGCTTCTAAGGTAGCTCTCTGCACATGCTACTATTCTTTGTACTTGAAAGAGAGAGCAGCAGGAAGTTGGCAGCAGCCCTGATGTTCTGGACCACAAGATACTCCCCAGTGGAAAATCAACCTTCAGTGAAAGCCCTCTTTTCTAATAGGAAAAAAAAAAAAAAAAAAAATTTGAACCCCCCCCCCCTCCAAAAAACCCCAACAACAGTGGGGCAGAGAAAATGCTGCTGGTATTATATATTAAAGGGCATAAAACTTATCAGTAAATATAAATTCCATTTCTTCTAAGCAGCATCCAACAGCTTTTGGTGGTAACTCCAGGCCTGAGGTCTCACCCCTGCCATACTAAGTGGAAGAAGGTTATCCTTGCTCTTTCCAACAGCAGCTTCACACACTGGGCTGACATAACAGAGGCCTGGAGGCTGTCTCAGAAAGATCAGGAGATGGCAAATCCCCTCTCCCCATGGTTGTCTGTGTCAAATGCATTTCTCATTTCAGCTAGAGTCTCTCAGTCCTGTCAGTGTGTGTGGGCCCTGTGTTTATACAATCATGTCATACAGCAAACAAACAATCCAAGCTGTGGTCTGCAAATCCATGTACTTCCACCAATGTTTTTTACATGTGACTTGCAGTTGCGCAGAAATCCTTTTGCCACAGAAAGGTTTGCCCAGATGAGTTGCAGGCCCCATCGATGCAGCAGCCACAAGGATTAAGTTGGCCCACTTTGGCCCTGCTGCACAGAATCCTTCCCAGGATACCCCCCCCCCCCAGTTTGTTGTAGTAGAGAAGCAGCAGTTAAAGGTTCAGACTAGTCATAAATACTAGAATAACAATCAATGTGCACAATTTACTCGAAAACACTGAGGACCTGAGTCAATTTTCCTTCTCAGTGGCATTCCTATACCTTTCTTATTAGCTTAACATCTGCTTTAAGAAACTCAAGTTGCAACCAAAAGGCGGAAACAAGCTAAGCCAGAAATTGGCCTTACAGTGATTATCAGTGTGGCCTGGAAACAGTCCCAAGGTCCTCTTGTGGCCATCCTCATCCTCAGGACTCATATCCTCAGAATCCCACGGGCTGGAATCTTTGAAGAAATTGCCACATGCTCCATAGGCACAGCACTGGTAGGCATAGGGCACCTCCAGGACCCTGGGGAGGAGAACACAGGACTACTTGTTACTTGATTCCCTCATCCTGCACGTGAGGTCGCAGAAACTCACGGTGCAACAAAGGCAGCTTTATGCACATTGAGGATGGGAAGGAACAAGGTTATATGGAAGGACAGAACAACCCTCCCTCCCTTTAACAGCCTTGTAGGGCAAGGACGTTTTGCATGGGGAACTTCAATGCAGCCTTGAGAAAAATGGCAACAGCTAGCAGTCCCTCTTGCACCACTGTGGGAGGTACAGAACCCATCACCCACTTTTTGAACCTGGTGTGGGGGGCAAAAGTCTATATTTCTGTGGCTCCTTTAATGGTGGCCAGCACAGGATGCAAATAAAAGCCAGTGTTGTCCCCTACACTGGGTGCTCTCTGATAATCTCACATATCCAATTCACTGGGCAATCAGTCTGTTGCAAAGACCCCCACATGGGGTATATGCACATGTGTGTGCGCTAAGGACTGCTCACTTACATAAATGCGACATGTTGCTGGCACTTCTGCCATTGTGTTCTCAGCCTTATGGAGCATTGTCTCAGCTGTTTATTCTAACCCCTTCAGGCAGCTCATTAATCCGCAACAGACAAGACATGGCCACACAAATAGCATTTACTGTAGGAAGGCTGGATGTCATTAGCTGAGGTTGGCTTTTGCAAAGGTTTTCCGCTCTGCTGAGCCCCAGGCGTGAGCCCCCTGCTTCCAGGGCCTCTGCCTCGTGTTGTGTGTGAGTTTGGATGATGCCAGCGACAAGACATTCAGTGGCTCATCGATTTCTCAAGGCAGTGATGGGTTCAGAGTGTGAGCAGGAAGTTATGCTTGCTCAAACCTCTGGCCTAACAGAATTATATAGAAATGTCTGGTAAACATGTACAGGGGAAGGCAGATCAAAGCAAACAAAGGAAGTCCAGTCAGAAAGAGGGGTGGGAGGAGGTGCCTTGTGAAGCCAGAAAGCAGAAACAAAGTTCACCTCATCTTGGGAAAGTTTTCTTTAGTGAAGGATTCGGAGAGTGCAGGGTTGCCTTTCAGTTTCAGATGAGTCAGTCCAGCCAGACCAGCCAACGGCAGCGTCACCAGCTGATTGTCTGTCAAATCCCTATTGGAGTAAAAGGCACAAGTGACATTGGAACAGAATGGAGGCTGGTGTGCTGAGTTCAGGAAATGAGCTTCTCGCAAGGATTTTTATTCTGGATGGTTTAGTTTGTGTATCATTACTGTTTCAATCAGGATAGTTATATTTTGTCTTCGGGATGTTAATCCTACTTTTGTAAGCTACTCTGAGAACTCCTTGGGAGAGTTGATGGTGCGTACAGACAAAGCTTCTGAAGCACCCCCTCCTTGCCTCATTCATTAAATTTTATGGTGGGCAGGGGTAAGCCTCTCTCTTCAACTTGTAAGCCTCTACGTTTCCTCGTTTGGAAATGATTGCCTTCTCATTGGTAGTAGTAGGAACCATTCATCTGGAAGCAGCCTAAGGAAAACAGAGCTTTGGCTACTTGTAAAAACAGACACAGGGTGGGTTTGCAAGGCAAAATAAGCTTGGCAGTGTGCGTTAATAGCCCAGTGACCCAAGGTATACTGCAACATGATATCTCTCGAGATCAGCTCTGGATCCCCCACCCAGCTCTTGCACACAATTAGAAACCATTTAGGACTGATTGCAACCTTCTTTCACTTCATCCCTTTTCCCTACAATCCCTGGATGCAGCTACAGTCAGTTCTTTCAAGTGCCTCAGCAGCAGTAATTTTTGTCCACTCTTGCCCAAGAGTGGATGTCCAGAGACACGGGGAGCCTCTGGTGGGCCAAGTGCAGAGGGTTCCTGCTGGCAAAGTCCCAGCCTGCATTATTCAGAAATATGACTTCTCCTGTTGGAAAGCCAGCAATCCTAAGATGCAAGCAAGCACAGGTGTTGCATTTCTCCATGGCAAAAATGGCAACCCCTGGCAGATAACGCACGTCTTTAAGGCACCAACTATTCATAGAAACAGGAAGACGTTTGCGTACCATATAATTCATATCTAAAAGCCTGCTTTTTAGGAAATGTATTTGAATTTAATGTGACTGTTATGAGATCACATCGCAAATATATAAAGTTTTAAAATGCTCAAATTACTTCATATACATTAACTATCATTACAAATAATCTCTACAATAAATTGAATTAATATCCCAAGATGAGGGATGTGGCCGAAAGGCTTGCACTTGTGCTTGAGGTAAAATTTGAACCTGTTCACACACTTAAGCTTCAGGCCTGCGTACACTTTCCTAAACTCAATGGGATGTATGACTCATAGATTGCATGCCTCAGCGCTATGACTTGGTTTACATTCATTCAAGCGGTAAAACCAGAGCGGGCTGAATTACTTCAGATTGTGGCTGGGGGTAACTTTTTAAAGTTTTTTTAAAAACTTGTTCCCATTTTTTAAAGCCCTACAAATTACATACAAGCACACCAGGAAGAAAGATTATAATTCAACCTGCTCTCCACTGGTTTTCTTTTTGCAAGGAAGTTTGGAAAATATTTACATACAGGAGTATAAATATTTTATAGCTCCACCTGCTGTTTAAAGTGGTGCAATCTAGTCTACCTGCCCCTGCCACAGTGGGGACTTTACTACTCATTCTGGTTCAGTTCCAGGCTTAGCTCTGTATAGCATCACTTGTGATATTGTTCTTTACTTAAGTCCTATTTTGAGGAATATTAAAATGTACCTTTAATAAGCTTCTCTGTTTGGACACTGATTGCATCTAAAAATGCAATAACGAGAGCCAGAATGGTGTAGTGGTTAACATATTAGGCTGGATCTGGATTGTAGTCCCCATTCAGCCACAAAGCCCATGGGGGTACTTTGGCCAGGTCACTGACTCAGCCTACACTACATCACAGGGTGGCTGCTGTGAGTATAAAGTGGAGAGGAGAACCTTGTAAATTTCCTTGAGCTCTTTATAAATGAAATGCACTGTTAATGCATTTTCTACTGCTAGTCTTTACAGCAATCTGAGACTTGTTTTTCAATCAGTTTCTGGAATAAGGCAATCTGTGAAATTTCCCCTCCCTCCCTCCATCCAAGGGGACTAGATTGGGACCCTGGTATACCTGCATTCAAGTATGTCAGCATTTTTGTCATTCACTCTAACCATGACATTGTGAGGTATGTTCTTTAACGTTCCCTTCTTACAGATGGCAGTCTGAGACTGAGAATTAGTTCAGTGACAGCCTGCCTATTGCTGAGAGGGGGGACTGAACCCAGTTTCCTCAAGTTCAGGGCTGGCAAGGGCTGGGCTGGGTCACAGCATCACTCATTACCCTTATGCTGTTGAGCCTGTGATGTGGCACCAGCAGGAAGAAGAAGTAAAGCAGGACCCTCACATCAGAAGCATGCCAGTCATAAAAAAATGAAAGTACAAGTCCCTTGTATAGCAAGGGACTGATGTTAGGGACTAGCTTTGCATGAGAGTCTGTTACTCTTGGGTTAGCCATGGCTTGTTGTAAGGTCTAAAAACCCTCCAGGGTAGACAGCTAAACATAAACACAGATGACACCCTAAGACATGGTCAAGCTCAAAGGTTAGAGAACCCATGGCTAGAGCAAAGTGTCCTTTGCTGCTTCTGCACCCCCTCCCCCCGCCACAACTCCCTTCCTGCTAATCTGTCACAAACAACAGTAAAACAATGGTAAAAGCTTCATTATCATCTCATCCATTTGCCAGAGCAAAAACCACCTACCAATTACCCTGGTATTCTGGCAGATGGCTACTGCTCTGGAAAAAAGAATCCAAGAGTAGTACTCCCTGTGTCCCCGCCTTTCTGTTGTATCACTGTGTTTGGGACAGGTGAATGCTTATATCCATCTTATGTCATCAGTACAACTTACAGCTTGACAAGAGAGTGGAGGGTCACAAAGGCCTCAGAGTGGATAGACTGGATGTAATTCCAACTCAGGTCTCTGCAAGTCAAAAGTTCATACAGTAGTAAATGTGGAATACATTTCAACTGGTTGCAAAGCATAATGAATCCATCAATATTCCCAAGCACATCCTTATAAAAATCTCTGGATAATTTCTATTTCACAGAATGTCCCTTGTCTTAAAATCCCAGATGCTCTGTAGCATCATTCCCCAAACTGATACCTCCCAGCCTCCTGCAGCCATGGGGATACATGGAAGGCTGGACAGGGATGCTCTGTACAACGCTATCACAGCTCCTCTCTCATCCATATTCAGTAGCCTGGGAAAGTTTGAGGGGCAGATGGAGCTCTCAGAGGACTAGCAGGAAAGATGAGTGGGGAACTTTCTTTGTTCATTTATTAAAGCATTTATGTTTTGCTTCTCAGTCCAGAAGTTAGAAATATTTTGAAATGCAAATTGGTTTCTGTTCTTGATATGTTTGTAACAGAAGAAAATGGGATATTACAAGCATTCTCTTCATGTGAATAATATAATATGTGTGCTATACATATAAGTATGTGTTCATATTTTAAGTTCATCTGCATCTGGCACTTTTGCAGGTCTGGCGGTGTGCCCATTGCTGCTCATTTGAGGGGCAAAATCGATGTCATAATAAGAATGAGCTGTTCTGTGTGAATGCACGAGTACAGACGACTTGTTCTGAAGGGCTCTTTGTGTGGCCGGGCTCTGTAATCATGCCCAGAGTGCCCTGTAGTATACCACTCACAAACTCCGGACTTTCTTCTCCTCTGTCATCAGTGAAACTCCTGACAGTTCTCCACAAGCTGTACTTACATGGAGCGCAAGGCCGTGAGCTGCCTGAAAGTGTCTGCTCCAATTTCGTGGATGCAGTTGTGCTGAAGGCCACTGCAAAGACAGAGAGACTACGATGGGAAAGGGAAACTTGCTTCGCAGAGCTCCTCATCCTTATTGGCAACAGAAGAAAGCAGTGCTGCCATGAAGGTTACTTCCATTAAGAATTGCAAAGGGGCTCACATTTCAAGGGGAAAGTGATGGAGAAACAAAACAGCCCAAGCCCACCCACCCCTTTCTCTGAATGCAGGCTCAGGCCTTGGACAGTGCCCCATTCAAATCAAAAGCATGCTTGGTGGGGGTGGGGTGGGGATTTCTTTATTACAAGGCTTCCCAGGCCTCCTCAGCATCTGCTCCCACTATGGAGCCTGGAGGGCTCAATATCACCAGCTGGCGTTCCCACCCATGGGAATACCATGGGTGAAGGATCAGGAAAGGAAACTCTTGGGAGGCAAAGAGCATTTCAGCCTGAACCCTTTAACAAAAATGCATGGTGCTCCCGGCAATCCGGCACCAGGGGGCTTCAAGCATTCATTCAAGAAGTTCCACATTGGGTACAAGCCAAGGAAGAGTGACACATTTTTTCCAACCTAGAGGTAATAAACCTCAGAAAAGTCCCAGCTAGACACCTACACTCCAGGATTCATCTCTCAGTTGTTTACCCACCACTACTAGTCCTTCACAGGCTGTTCAGACTTGGGGGTTTTACCTCAGCTTACCGCAAAGCAACAGTTACTTACATTTCTTCCAGCCTCTGGCAGTAATGGAAACTGGGCAGCTCCTCAATTTGATTGTGTGAGAGCTCACTGTGGGGAAAATAACAAAGGTTAGAACAAAGCCAGCCTTCTTGAAGGTCGTCCTGGAATGTGTCTGGGGGAAAGGAAAGGAGTGGGTGACCCCAGGCTATGCAGCTGGGAAAGCAGGAAACCTGGAGACAGGTAATATCCCTGTTGTACCTGGCTGGTGGCTGGCACCAGTCTGTTCATGCTACTTGATGCTTGGCACCAGTCTGTGCCTTGTTTCTTGATATCGTTCCTAAATTACTCACTCCTTCCCCTGTTAACTCTGCTTGTGGCAGTTCGAGTGTTCGACTGGGACTCAGGAGATCCAGGTTCTAATTCCCCACTCAGCCATGAGGCACACTGGGTTTCTTTGGGCCAGTCGCTCACTCTCAGCCTGACCTGGGCATAAAATGGAGCTATGTAAGCTGCTTTGGGTTCCTCACTGGAGGCAAAAAAGAAGGATATAACTGCATCGTACTAGGAACAGGAGTAATATTCCAGTTACCAGAAAGCCAGAGCTCTAACAGTCTACTAAGTGGTGTTCCTTTAGGGCCAGCCATACACAATTGTCCACCAGAGGAAGACTGGCACAAATAAGGTTTGACATATAAAGCAAATCTGTTGCTTTTACACCATGTTAAACTGTTTGGTTCATGAAAGTGCTGTGGCTGTCCTACCAGCTGGTGGTTTTCCACTCCATCATTTTCTTCATCTTGTACCACAACTGCACTTTGAGTTTACTCCTGGATGATTTCTCCCCATCTGGCTCTCCCGCTTCCCACCTCTCCTCAGCATGATCAGCTCCCCACGCAGCATGACTCAGACTGGGGTAGCTTGTAGGCAAGGACCAGAGTAGAGATGCCAGTGAGGTCACAGGCACCGCCCACTGCAGTCCCCTGGAACGGAAAGCACGGTGGAGTGGAAAGTCTTCTGTAGCTGCACAGCACACTTTTGTGCCTGGTCCATGATTTATGCAGTGGCAGTAAAGACACCATTCAAGATCCTCAGTAAGAAGGGGAAATGTGCTTATAACTCACAGGATGCGCAGGCTGGGCAGCTGCTGGCACATCCCACCAGGAAGCAAATGGATCCCAGCCCGGGTCAAAGTCCTGCACAAAAGAAGACATAGCTGATGCCATCATTCACAAGAAGGCTTAAAGGCTTGGCCCAGGGAGAACCAACCAGGTGCCCATCCAATATTTTAGACTGCAACCTCCCACATGTCCCTACAAGCATGAGCAATGGACAGGCATTATTGGCGATGCAATTTGAAACATCTGGAAGGCTCCTGGTTGCTACCTCACATTTAGCCCATTCTCTGCTATCAGTGTGAATATTGCTAAGGGTGATTAGGCTAGAATCAGAAGGGATGTGGCATGTGGCATGCAGAAACCTTTTCCACAAGAGAAAATGGAGTGTTGCGTCACTGGGCTAGTTCATAGGGTTGATGTAGTCCATGGGTTTGTTGCATAAGCCACCCATGCTGGATTTCCATGACACAATAAGTCATGGCGATTGCCTGTTGCAGCTTGACTATTCCAAAGGGTGGCCAGCACACAGTGTACCACACTGCGGCTGTGGTGATCACACCAACCTGTTCACCTAAGGCCATTGGGAACTGTCAAAGGCTGAGCTGAGCATCTGCCTGGCCAAATTTCTACAACAATGAAGTTTCAACATAGATTGTGCACAGCTCCCAGTTACTAAATAATCAACACTTTGGCTGCTATAGTTTACTCAAAAAATTGCAATAATAAAGGAAAGTAGAAAATTTCCTGGAAAAAACATATTTGGACAGCTCCTTCAGCAGTTCCCTCTACACCCATGTGCTTTTTCATATCTTCCTGTGGCTCAGAGAAGACTACTGACCTGCACTGATTTGGATGAGGACGATATTAGAATCCCCTGCTTTTTTCCTTTCCTTGAATGGAATATAGTGGATTATTTGGGGTGAGAAACAGGCAAAGGGCATCCAAGCAAACCTTGAAACTCACTCTGGGGTTCTTCCTGAGTCAAACTTCAGGAAAGATTGTATCCCCCAAACTATGGGTTGAATCCTGATGGATTATTCTTTTACAGAAGGATAATCACAAAGAGCTCCTTTCATTCACAGAAAGCACCAGGGTCCAAGTGAAGCCTCCAGGCTCAAGGAAAGGGGGACAAAGACCTGACCGTTGCTGATACATCTGCTCTAATCCCATAGACAGCCCCCTCTGACACCTCTCGCGCTTCTCTGGGGAGTCTCCAGCCCTCCAGAACAGCTTTCAGGAGGCACAAGAAGCTGCAGGAGGAAGATGTAACTTCAAAGTTTCCCTCCCAATACCTTTTCTCTAGCCCAATTGGAACTCTGCTACTTTGAATCCAACTAGATGATTTTATTGTGGTGGGAGGGATGGAGGAAATGTAGTAACCCCAGTGTAATGGTCCTGTTCCTTACATAATCTGGAGTAATGGATTCCCAGCAAATGCTTTCTCTGGAATCGCCTTGATGTTGTTGTTATGGAAACCCCTGTTAAGCAAAAAGACACCAGACTGGTTAAAGGCAAAATACAGATGGGGGATTGCTTAAACTTGAAAAGTCTTTGGGTGGCTTCCCACAAAGAGACATTTTTTAGCATGGAAATTGTGTGCATCCTGTGTCTCATCTGTCACATAAGGTGAACACACAGGGCTTTGTTTTGCTGCTTGTGCATGTGGAAGGAAGTTTCCACCAGACTTATGAAATCTAACAATGCAAATGTCTCGGTCCACACCTGTATCCTGGGTGCAGTATAATCTGGTGTGGGCAGCTGAAACATCAGGGATGTGTGGAATGTAGGAACAGGAAGAACTAGAACAATGCATGCCATCCCCAAATTAGGACCATCTGAACATACCCTAAAGGTTGGGAAAATCAGTTACCCACAATGCCTGCCCATCTCTTGAGAAGCCACAAATTGGCTATGCCTGGAAAAATGAATGGGTCCTAGTGAGGTGGAAAATGCGAAAGCTTCACTGAGGGTGATAATTAGAGGCCCAGAGCCTCTTCTGAAGGGACACAGAGCTGGAGGTAAAAAGCAGCAGGGGCTGTGGAAACTGGCCCTACAAAAGATGCCCAATCTGTCAGAGCTGTGTACTTTCAAGAGTTGTTTCCAGAGAGGTGTGAACTCATCTCATCCTCAGTCCAAATGCCATTGCTATTAAAGCTCGTGGTGGTTTGCCCAGTGGTACCACAACTCTGGGCATTCTGTGTGACACTAATGATGTCTGTGAGGCATATGTTGCCATGCTGGAGAGGAGCGACTGCATTTATGATAGAAATGGTGAAAGAGGAATGCACATTCCTCTTTGGATTGGCAGTTTGGAATGGCAGTTCTGTCCACATTAAAGGAAGGCCCACATTATCTATTTGAGCAATGTTTCTAAAGAAGGTATGAGAAATGCCTTACAGCTCTTGAAGCCGGCCGAGCGTCCTAATGGCCACTGGAAATTCCACCAGCTCATTATAGTTCAGGTCCCTGAGAGACACAGAAAGACAAAGTGTCATTAAGAAAGCTGGAAAAACTCATCAGAATATGTTACATTCCAAATGGTTGGAAATTTGTTTATTCAGTATGGAGAAGAGCTTCTCACGACTCTCGAGTCACCCATATCTGGAAACATCATCTCAAAGTAATACTAGAATATTCCTTGTTAGGAGACTCATCCCTTGGAGCTATAATGCCCCTATTGGATGTATCCTCTCTGATGTATCCTAGCTGCCCTTCCAGGATGGTCTGCCATTCCAGTGTCTTGTCCTAGACTCACAAGTATCTCCTGAAACACATCTGCAAAGGCAAAGCAAAATGAAGAGGAAACTCTTTAGTGCACCCTTTCCGAAACTGGTGCCCCCCACATGCTTTGGACTACATCTTCCGGAACTTCTTGCCATTGGCAATGCTGGCTGAGGTTGCTGGGAACTGAGGCCCAAACATCTAGAGGGTACCATGTTGGGGAAGGCAGTTTGTTTTTTCTTGCTGTGTTTTTGCAGGAGAGGCGGAAGTAGGACAGATCCTTACCCAGGGCAGCAGCAGCACATATTCTGAGTCAGCAGCAGCCTTTCCCTACTTGGGCTGCTGCCTCTTAAGTGATATATGGCAACTTTAAAGAAAGCTAGAAGTTGCACCGGCCAAGGGCGACAATGGGACTGTTGCTGTAATACAGATCCACTCACTGCAGAGGCGGATAGAAGGCAGTCCAATGCATCATTCCAAAACAGAGCTGGGGGAGCAAAGTTAATACACATGCCCCCTCATTGGAATGATGTATGAATTCACCTCTGAGTCCTCGAAAAGGAGCAATGTATAAAAATGCTTTGCACAGGAATATGCTACAGGCCAAACACATTGCCTAGAAATGGTGATGCTGGGTCCATGGTACATTTATCACATGTCAGGTATAGGGTGAATATAACACCTGAAGGTACCACTTATGTCTGGGAATGAGATAGGATATCACATGGGCTGCCACATGGGCTGAATATACAACTAATATGTGGGGGGGTCCCCTGCTCCATGGCCAATCTATTTCCAATACTGCAACAGTGAGACTCAGACCAAGTGGGGTGTTCTCCATTAGCCATTCTGTAGCTTACACCAAGGAAGCCAACAGGAATTAAACCATGGCTGATGCCTCACTAGCCTTCAAGTTCTGCTTATGCATGTGAACCTTTCTTCATGAGTCATCACACCAGGCCAGGTTCTGCCTTAAGGCAAGGGTCTGCATGCAAAGAAATAAGATGTAGCCTTCCTCGGGGTAGGGGTATGCCATTGAAACTGCTGGGGTTTGTTTCAAATCCCTCCACCCTCCGCATCACAATCTCCCTACTATCCTATGGTTCTTTTTACTGACATGCTAGTCATTTGTGAACACCTGAACTTCAAATGTTGGGACTGCAAAATGAAAAAACTGCCTGGCTGGTGGGATCTCAAAGTTGCTTGAAATCTCAGGGCTAGCAAGTATCTTGGAGAACTTGTAAGGAAACAGTATGGGGAATCGTTTAATCACAGAAAAAACATGCCTGATATATGTTAAATGATAATGAGTAAGTAAAGTTTTAAAACCTATCCTACTTTTGCCCGTAGGAGTCCTGAGCTGCAAAACTGTATGGGAAGGTCACACTGCAGATTATATGCTGCCCATCAAGAATCATCATCCTGTGAGGCAAGCACCAAAGAAGACATCTGCCATGTGACCCTTTTTAGTTACATGGTAGCCCAGTTATCTTTACCTGAATATCTTAGAAAGTTACAGTCATTACTTGCTACTGTGGATTAATTAATAACTGTACTTAATAGACCCCAAAATAATTACCACATGAATGGTAAAGAGCAAAAATTACCATGAACTTACTCTGGAATTAAATGGGATTTGATTTTTTTCTGTTTGATTTAATTTCCAAATTGCCTAGTCACTCCCATTGTCCCACACCCCCTCCAAAGCATCGCTTGTAATTATCCTGTTAGGCAAATCCTATGCCTATTCAGATATGTACATTTAGAGACATAATTCCCAGAATTCCCCAGCCAGCCATGCTGGGGAATACTGGGGTGGGGGTGACTTTTTCCATCTAAACATACATGGGTTTGCACCCTAATTCTCTCGTGCACTGATCCACGGCAGGCTGGGCTAGCTGTGCATCTCATTTGCAACTGAAACATGTGGCACAAATCAAGTTACAAGTGCCCACAAGAACTCAGATCAACTACTATAACTGTTTTGCAAACTTCAATGCCACAGTCCAAGACATGCTTAAGATTTTTCATTTCAGTTATAAGCATACTTAACTCTGGGTTAAACTGTGGCCAGGAATACTTTCTAGATTTTTTTAGTCTTCTTCATGCACTGCTGTGATTTCAGACATCACAACCACAATAATGTTTTCACATGTGCATTTTTGTATTGAATGCATCACCTTTTCTTAGGTGGTGGGGAAAAAGCCATTTTAATATTGAATGGACATTCTTGCCAGTATGCCATTTCATTCAAATTGCAGAAATAGAACATGCAAGCACACTAAACTTTAGAGAAGAATTCAGACAATACACACTGTAAGAGAAACCTGACTGATAATATATTATGACAATGCTCTAACAGGGTCTCCTCATGAATTGGACTACTGCTCCTGTAATCCCTGAGCACTGGCTATACTGGATGGGTTGATGGGAGTTGTATTCCAAACATATTAAAAACATCAGGTTGTTTACCTTTGGGATTTTTTGGGGGTGGTGAATCCTTTGATGGGGACTGGACTGATAAGGAAGAAGCAATTCTGCTATTGTTCCTTGAGCAACACTGATGTCACATCATATTTCCAGAGAAAGGGGTGATAGTAAATGATCAGCTTGAAGGAGAATGGCCACGTGCCTCCTCCTCACTCCAGAGAACAGTCGTCTGTTTGAAGGGCTATCGGTGAACTATGTATTTGAAAAACTGCCTAGTCTGAGTCTCATTTAAAGGTCAAGAACAGTGGGGTCTCAAGAAGAGTTGAAGAAACAGTGATTCACATAAAGGAAGCTACAAGAAGATCAGAGAGAAAAGTCTACCCCCAACAAGTCAGAAAAGGTGGTAGGCCTGGGAAATGAGGAATGGAAGAACTGGTCTACAGGAACTTGTCCACAGGAATAAGAAGAAATGAGAAAAGAGCCTTTTTCTGTATGAGGCTTAACCTGACAATTTACCAAAAGTTCTGATTCCAAGATTCTTTGCCGAATTAAGATCAGTTCCTTTACACTCCCCCCACTCCGCCAGTTTTCTTTCTCTGCTTTTCTGTGTTTCATGACACAAGCATTAGGTGGCACTATGCTAAAGTGGAGATATGGAAATACAGGAGGGTTCCATGGCACCATTTACAAATCAAACTTGCCTCTATCAAAACAACAACAAAAATCTGCTGAAGTGATTGCAAAGAACAGGAAATAATTTGGAGGATGATGACAATGTCATATAAAGCACCTGCAAACTACTTTGAGCAAGGAGTCATGAAAGCACAATAAATGCCTTATGTAGAAAAGCCCAAAGTTAAAAGAAGAATGTTTGAGGGATGATTGTATTGTATGGCAATTGCTGATGGAGAGCTTCCTCAACCAACCTTTTTAGGACCAATGGTATTCCTATGAATGTCAGGAACTTTGAAACAAAGAATACCCCTTATTAAGCTCTAGTCCTCCATACAGCCTCTTCCATGAACATGAGGAATCCTCCAGTGCTTGATAGGATCCATGCTAGAAATACTAGTAAAAACAAAGTGTCAATAGATAGCCAATATAATTAACAGCATGTAAGCCCCTCATTTGCTTTTTCAGTTCCTCTTCCAGGTACTCTGTTTCAAGGGCTTTCTTAATTGCCAGTTTTAATTTTTGTTTGCATATCAGACGGCATGCAAGTACATGCAGCAAAAGTTGTTCTTGAATGAGCACTGGCATTCTTCACCATGCCGAGAGCCTATCTGGATAAAGCCACAGTCTCTGCTTGGCAGAGAAAGAATGTATTGTATTTTTCAGCACATCCCTCTGGATAGAGGAACCATCCCTGAACTTGATCTGGCAATGTGCTGTCTGGAGAGGCGAGAATTATACCAGTTGCAAACAAATGGAGATTTACAAAAGACCTTTCTTATAGACCGCTTTCAGGGACATCAGTGTTGGGCAATGCACAGCATCAAAGAGGCAGTTGTTAAACCTTTGAGGCTGAAGAGTGGGAGACCTTCGGAAAGTCTTGTTGATACACTTGAAGCACAAAGAAAAAGACAGAAATGAATGCTAATGCAGGAGGAATGTCTACAGGCCAGACACTGAACGCCTCTGTCCCCCACCCACATATGAGTTTGTTAACATGAGAGCGAAGAAGGGAAACAGAAGTACACATAGAGAGCTGTACAGCAAGAGGCATGAGAGGATTTATGAAGACATTAATTTGACCTATGGCCTGTTACAGCTTGGCCACAGAACCTGTTTTTTAATGCAAGACACAATATGAAATAATATTAAAAGAGAGGATTGCAGGGCATGTGCAGAGTGCCTTTCCATCACTATCAAGGAACCAGAGCCTGCCTTTTCCCACATGTAGTTTCTCTGTCTTTCTTTGTAATATAACTTTGCTACATTTAGGACTTCAGACTTCTTCAGAATTATTGTTTAATTTCTACTAAATCACCCTGGAGCTCTGTCCAGAACAACTAACTCATTTTTAGGAGACCTACCCAATCCCAGACTTTCTCTGTCTACGGTGAGTTACATGCATTGTGGACCTGTTCAGGGGTGCTTTATTTTTTACAGCATATGTTCTAGGTCAGCCTTGTCCAACCTGGTGCACTCAGGAGATCCCATTATCCTCAGTCAGCTCCCATCATCCCCACTTATGAGGCCCAATGGCCAATGTACTGAAAATGGGGAGGATCCAAGAGACAGTATTGTGAAGTATCCTGCTTTTAGAATGTAGACTGTCTTTTAAAGCTTATTCAAATACAAATTAGACAAAA